AACAAGTGTCACCAAACGGACGGTTTGGGCAGCGTTAACAATAAGTTCACCAAACGGACAGTTTGGACAGCGAAGACGGTAGAAGCAGCTGGCAGCCACGCAGGATAATATTACAATAATATTAAAAGAAAAAAGGAATCATGTAAGTGGAATCATTGCTCAGCATTAAGTATAGAAAAAAATCTTAATTTTGTCGCCAAAAGTGAAATTGCCCTTGTTGAGTTCCTCTTCTCGAAGGAATAGACGTGTTATAAAAAAAAAGAGTGTGTAAAAAAAAAGAGTGTGTAAACGTATGAGTGATGACAGTGACGACTCGCTAAAATCACTGAATTCCAACTTCAAAGCCTTGGCTTGCTCATCCCGCAACACTAGCCCTCAGACTAAAACAGGCGAAATGAACAGCGCTCAATTAGGAGACATGTCGGCCCTGCTGAATGCAGCGGTGACAGCGGCCTTAACGGCCCAACGTAAAGAATTTGAGGAGCGACTTAGAACGATAACAGAACGCATTGAGTCAATAAATATAGCGGCAACCACCAAGCCTAGCATAAAAGTCTTCGAAGACGTTAAAATAGTGCCCGGTATTAGTTGTGACGAACCGCTCGACGCGGTGAAGTCTGTCCCAGAATTCAACGGCGCACAGGAACAATATGTATCTTGGCGCCAAGCGGCAAAAGCCGCTTATAAACTGTTTGAAAGTTATGATGGGAGCTCCCGCCACTATCAGGCGGTGTTAATTCTAAGAAATAAAATAAGAGGACAAGCGGATCTCACCCTGTCTTCATTTAGTACCAAACTGAATTTCGAAGCCATAATTGAAAGATTGGACTTCACATATGCCGACAAGCGTCCAATACACTTGATCGAGCAAGAAATGGGAACCCTCAGACAGGGTAACTTAACTATTTTACAATTCTATGACGAGGTAGAGAAAAAACTGACTCTACTTACAAACAAAACAATTATGTCTTATGATCCGGCCATTGCCGATCATATGAATGGAAAGTATAGGGCAGATGCGCTCCGGATTTTCATATCCGGACTTAGAAGGGCCTTGACCGACGTGTTGTTCGCGGCCAAACCCGCGAGTATGCCAGAAGCACTCGCGTTAGCCCAAGAAGTGGAATCCAACCACGACAGATACGCCTTCGCGGCAAACTATGCCAGAAGCCTTGAGGAAAGGGATAAACAAAGAAGCAATGCCCAATACTCGAGACAGAATGAGCAAAAGGGCGGCCCAAAACCGAAAACACCTTACTTTAAGAAAGAACAGGGAAATAAGCCCCAGGCGCAAGAGCCACCTGAAGCAATGGAGGTAGACCCGTCATCGTCTAAATTCAGACAGGCAACAAATTTCCAGCGGGGGCAACAGCAGAGCCAGCCGGCTGGCCAAGCGTCTTGGCGTAATGCCCAAAATGGGGGACAGAATAACCTCAAGAGATCTAATGCTTCAGAAAGGCATTCGGATCAAAGGAGGCAGAGAATTAACTGCCTGACCCAAGATGCACCGCCCCAGGCGGATGATGAATATGACCGTGTTGATTTCGCGGCTGTAGCTCAGCTCGAGGACGACGAAGATGCATGTAGCGTCGACACTGTTAATTTTTTAGCGGTGTCTCCCTGCTCCCGTTCATCCAACGAACGGTCGCGGGGACCAGTTTAAAATTTTTAATAGACACGGGGGCCTCAAAAAATTACCTTCGACCAAATTGCCTCGAGGAACTTAGTCTCGCCCCCGTCCAAACACCCTTCAACGTAAAGTCAATCCACGGTATGGAGGGAATCACTCACAAACGCACCCTATCCATCTTCGGGTGCGAAAGCTCTTTTTTTATCTTGCCGACCCTGTCAACATTCGACGGAATAGTCGGCCTAGATCTACTGTCCAAGGTACATGCTACCATAAATTTGAAGGACAAGATCATAAAATATGACAACGGTTCGGAACAGATTCAGTTCTACAAATGTCAGAACGTAAACTTCACCAGCATTGAAGACATCGAAGTCCCTCTAGCTGTAAAAAAAGAGTTCGTTGATATGATCGGAAAAACCATCAAGGTTTTTGCCGATCCAAATGAAAAATTGCCTTTTAATACATCGGTGGTCGGAACGATCCGCACCGCGAATAACGAACCTGTTTATTCAAAACTTTACCCATTTCCAGTGGGCGCGATTGACTTTGTCAACAAAGAAGTCAAAGAGCTTCTAAAAAACGGCATTATACGGCCTTCTCGCTCTCCTTATAATAACCCAATTTGGGTCGTACGCAAGAAAGGTGTTGACGACTCAGGGGCGGAACAAAAGCGGCTAGTAATAGATTTCCGCAAATTAAATGAAAAGACGATAGCAGATAGATACCCCATGCCAAGCATCTCAATGATATTGGCAAACTTGGGCAAAGCCCAGTTCTTCACTACTTTAGATTTGAAGTCGGGTTATCATCAAATTACTCTTGCGGAACAGGACCGTGAAAAGACGTCCTTTTCCGTTAACGGAGGAAAATACGAGTTCTGCCGACTGCCGTTCGGCCTCAAGAACGCTGGAAGTATTTTCCAGAGAACAATAGATGATGTACTGCGAGAGCACATCGGCAAGACTTGTTACGTCTACGTCGATGATGTCATAATCTTCTCTAAATCCGAACTCGATCATGTCAAGCACATTAAACAGGTCCTTGAATGTCTTCGGGACGCCAATATGAGAGTATCCAAAGAGAAGTCACACTTCTTTAAAAAAAGTGTTGAGTTCCTAGGTTTCGTCGTGTCCAGTAGCGGCACTAGAACGAGCCAGGAAAAGGTACACGCAATCAAAAATTTTGCAGAACCAACCAACCTTTTCGCTGTCAGGTCCTTCTTGGGACTGGCAAGCTACTACAGATGCTTCGTAAGGGACTTCGCCGCAATCGCGAAGCCATTGACGGACATCTTGAAAGGGGAAAACGGGAAGATTAGCAAACAGAGCTCCAAGAAGGTGCCTGTAAAGCTGACCGACTCTCAATTTGAGGCCTTCGATAAACTCAGAAATGTGTTGGCCTCGGAAGACGTCATTCTCCATTACCCAGACTTTAAAAAACCATTTGACCTTACGACGGACGCTTCGTCCTCGGGCATCGGAGCCGTACTGTCCCAAAGGGGGAGACCTATCACGATGATATCTAGAACCCTTAAAGATAGAGAAGTCAACTACGCGACAAACGAGCGGGAGTTGCTGGCAATAGTATGGGCATTAGGCAACCTTCGCCACTATTTGTACGGTGTAAATGACATCAATATTTATACTGATCACCAACCTTTGACCTTTGCTGTGTCGGACAGAAACCCTAATTCGAAAATAAAAAGGTGGAAGTCCATTATTGATGAACACGGGGCAAAGATTTTATATAAGCCAGGCAAAAAGAACCATGTGGCGGACGCCCTATCAAGGCAAAACATTAATTCACTCGAAGCCGAACCGCGATCCGACGCCGGCACTATTCACAGTGAGCAATCACTGTCCTACACAATAGAGGCAACTGAAAAACCCGTGAATTGCTTCAGAAACCAGATAATTCTGGAGGAGGCAGAACACCCGTGGCACCGCACGTTCGTACTCTTCAAAGAGAAAACACGGCATGAAATTTTGTTCAAAGATTGGGACACATTAATCGACCAAGTCAGGGATGTGGTAAACACACAAGTTGTAAATGCCATACACTGTAGCTTGCCAGTTCTGGCGCGCATTCAGCATGCGCTTGTGCAGGCCTTCCCTTCAACCAAGTTTTGGTACTGTAAGTACCGGGTTGCTGATGTCTTTAATAAAGACGAGCAAAAAGAAATAATTTTGGCAGAGCATAATCGCGCCCATCGGGCAGCGCAGGAGAACGTCAAGCAAGTGCTTAAAGATTATTTTTTCCCTGGCATGAACAAGGTAGCTGCAGAAATCGTTGTGGGTTGTCGAATCTGCGCCAAGGCTAAATATGAACGACACCCTAAAAAACAGGAACTCGGTCCTACCCCAATTCCGTCATATGCGGGAGAGATGATCCATATTGATATTTACTCTACTGCGAAAAAACAATTCTTGACAGCGGTCGATAAATTTTCTAAATTCGCGGTTGTCCAGGTCATAAGCTCGCGTACAATCGCGGATGTGAAAGGGCCATTGTTGCAGCTGGTGAACCTGTTCCCAAAGATTAAAACGATATATTGTGACAATGAGGCGTCGTTCAGTTCAGAAACTGTACGGACAATGCTAAAAGACAATTATGACATTGATATCGTGAATGCGCCGCCGCTCCACAGCACGTCGAACGGCCAAATAGAGCGCTTCCACAGTACCTTGGGTGATATGGCGAGGTGCCTAGCCCAGCAGAGAGGTATAACAGACACGGTCGAAGCCATATTGCAGGCCACCGTGGAGTATAATAGGTCATTCCATTCCGTCATCGACAGAATTCCGATCGATGTCCTTCACTCGGCACCAGACGAGTTGAAACAGGAAGTAATGAGCAAACTACTTAAAGCTCAGGCTCTGCAGTTGGATAGAAACAACCCTTCCAGGCAGAATCGTGTGTTTGAAGTCGGTGAGGTCGTTTTGGTACGGTCGAATAGGCGGCTGGGTAATAAACTGAGCCCCTTGTACGTTGAGGAAAAGGTAGAAGCAGATTTGGGAACAACGGTTCTCATTAAAGGGAGGGTGGTCCATAAGGACAACCTTAAGTAAAACAAAAAAAAAAAAAAAAAATATATAAAAAAAATTAATTATAAAAAAATATAAAGGAAAAATAAAAAAATTAATTATAAAAAAAATATAAAAGAAAAAAAATAAATAAATAAAAATAAAAATAATTTAAAAAAAAAATAATAAGCAAAAAATTTTAGGTTTCAAAAAATATTATAAAAAAAAAAATTATAAAAAATTTTTACAAAAAAATTTACAAAAAATTATAAAAAAAATCATAAAAAAATTAATTATAAAAAATTTTTTTTTTTTTTTTTAATACAAAAGGTTAAGATATAAAAATAAGTTAGAGCGGGTTGCCTCATCGAAGATGTTTTATTGATTCGCAGGCGCGTTGTGGTCTTGGTTGCGTGGGCTGCGATGTCAACGGCTAAATTGGTGAATTATTCCCATTCGCGCTACATCCCGGTGACTGGTGGGACGGCTGTGGTATGGAATGAGACGAGAAATCTGAGACATTCTACAAACCTGACGGAGTATGACAGGCTCGTGCGCGAGACAGCGGAGACGACAAAACTGTTCCCCCAGTCGCACATGCGTAAGATACTGGAAGCCGACGTTAACCACATGTCAACACTCTTGGTGACCCTGGGCGTTCACCATAGGCACGCGCGGAGTTTGGACGTCATAGGTAGGGCCTTGAAGGTAATTGCTGGGACCCCCGACGCCGAAGACTTGCGACAGATACGTTTGACAGAGAACGAGTTGATAAGGGAAAATAACAGACAAATAGTAATAAACACTCACACGCAAAAACAGATCAATGCTCTTACCCTCACGGTAAATGAAATTCTAAAAGCTCAAAAAGCAATTCAAATTGATACTTCACACCTTTACGAGACCCTTTTGGCAAGAAACAGAATGTTAACTTTAGAAATTGAAAATTTGATAATGGCAATCACTTTGGCTACAGCAAATATAATAAATCCAGTCATCATCAATGACGGCGATCTAGAAGTAATCCTGAGCAAGGATTCCACAGGAATTAGCGTAACAAGTATTTTAAGCGTTTCTAAGACCAAAATCCTAGCAAATAATCAAGAAATTCATTTTATAATCACTTTACCTAAACCTAAACTTATTTGTAAGAAGGTCCTAATTTTTCCTGTCGCACACGCTGGGGTTACGCTACAAATCAAGGAGAACGTCGTGGCTGACTGTGACGGCATGATTGTTCCGATAGTATCTTGCGAGGGGCCGTCAAGGATGTCCTTCTGCGAGGAGTCAACAAGCAATACCTGCGCACAAGAGCTGCACGCTGGGAAAACGGCACATTGTAACACCCAGCCGAATCACCTGGCTGTGGTAACTTTGGTTGATGACGGCATACTTGTACTTAACGACAGCCCCGCCCGAGTTACCATTGATGACGGGCCGGAAAATACGATCACCGGAACATACCTTGTCACGTTTGATCGCTTCGCATACGTAAACGGCACCAGGTTCACTAACATCAATGGCATCGTCAAAATGATCCCTGGTTCTGCGTCGGTGCCGGCGCTCGATGTCGTCGAACACCAGAAGGTGTTGAGCCTGCCGTTTCTCCATCAGTTAAGTGAAGACAACCTGAGACGCATTGACGAACTTCAATCGCAGGTGACCATTGGACCACTGATTACGCTGTCCAGTTGCCTGATGCTGTGCGGCGTGGTGTCTGTCGTTGCGTGGGTCATTTGGCGCAAGAAAAAGAAGGCTCAACGTGAATCTGTCCAAGAGGTTCTGCGAAGTCTTAAGATGACCGAGGACGCTCACGTTTTAGGAGGGGAGTAGTTAACAACAAACATTATGCGCTGTTGCATTATACAATGTTGCTATAATGCTGACCATGCGCTTCACCCCTATCCCCTCGCGTGCTGCCCGTGGAGCGCGATACTTGCACGAGGAGCAAGATCAGCATTTCCGCCGTGGCCACCGACCCCCAGCATAGCTGGGAATCATATTTCTATTACGTAAACATTCGCGACATAGCCTTAAGCAGCGAATGTTAATTTTTAATTTTTGAGTTTTAAGTTGAACATTGGCAGACGCGCACGGCGCTGTCATAATAAAAATACTTTAACTCAAATAATCCGAATTTAATTAATATAAGCAGTCGCACACGGCGCTGCTATAATAAAGTTAATTAAATTCAAACCCTATGAACTTAATTTGCATACAATATGCAAGTAGTTATAAATACTGAAACACAAAAACAAATCAATCAGTTAACCTCCACCGTAAATGAAATTATAAAGGCCAAGAAAGCCAACTTAGTAGACACCCACATTTATATGAGGCACTTTTGGCAAGAAACAGAATGTTAACAACAGAAATACAAAATTTAATTCTCACAATCACTCTCGCTAGATCAGGCATAGTAAATCCCACCATTTTTGATCATAATGACTTGAAATCAATACTTAATGAACACCCTCCAGAAGTCCCTATAGTTAACCTGATGGAAGCCTCTTCCATAAAAGTACTCCAGTCCGAAAATATTGTCCATGTGCTAATCACATATCCAAAAATCAAATCCGTTTGTAACAAGATAGCAATTTACCCTGTATCACATCAACACACCATACTACAGCTACAGGATAACATCATAGCTGACTGTGACGGCGATGTTTTGGCTACTTCAGGATGCACTACTACCAACTTTGGCGCAATATGCAAGGTGGCAAAGGGCGATAATTGCGCTCGGGCTTTATATGCCGGAAGCACGGCAAATTGTCGGTCTCAACCCAGCGACTTAAGAACCATCACCGAAGTAGATGACGGAGTAATAATCATCAATGACAGTTCGGCGAAAGTAAGCGCAGATGACGGGCCAGAAATCAGCATCCATGGCACCTACCTCATCACCTTTGAACGCTCCAGCATGATCAACGGGACTCACTTCATCAACCAACGAGAAATGGTAAAAAAGAGTCCAGCCGTTGCAGGGTCTCCACTTCTCAACATCATAAGTCATGACCCTGTGCTGAGCTTACCGGAACTTCATTTGATGAATACCCACAACTTACGAGTCATCAGCGAGTTTAAAGAAGATCTGGAATCATCTGACTCCCAAGCAAACTGGCTCATCAGCGGTATAATTTTAAGCGCCGCCTTCAGCTGTTTTATTGTCATCTACCACTTTTACAAACGAAAAATGGAATCGAAGAAGGTGCAAGAAGTCATCAACAAGTACAGTGTGTCCGAGGCCGGTCACGAACTTAGTGGGGGGATAGTTAACAAGTAACCCTCGCTTGTTAGAGACTTAGTATTTAAGCTACCCTCGCATGCGCATTCCGCTGACACATCAGAGTCAGCGCAATGCCCCGACACAAAGTCAGTTCTGGAAACATGATACTTGACATTGCGCAAGTAGATTTGTTTATCAGTTATGCTGAGCCGGCATTGCCGGCTATGGGCTTTGTGTGGCTTTTGCTCTAGCTTAGCTTTGACTTCAGTTTCAGGTCAATTTTGTGTTCAGTTTAATTTGGAATAAAGAAGACACAACTTGTCTATGAATTATACTCCGGCACCAAGCCGTATTTTTGTTATTTAATTGATACATTGCTGAGCCACAAGGCCAGTAATTAATAAAGGAAACAAAGTAAAGTTTCCCACCGTAATCTTCCTAATTTGGGATTACTAGTGAGTCATCGCTGGAACGTCGCCGGAGCAATCGGAGGACGACGTTGGACATCGCGGGATCACAACTTAATAATTTATATCTAGATATATGCATGTATTTATACATATTGTCATTAAATTGCGCTTAAATTTAATTTGAAAATTTCGTTTCTGTTTTTGTTTTTCTCATTTGATTTACACCAAATTCTTGTGTTTATTTTTAGTGTCTTTTCGTTTTGTTTTTTTTTTCATCTGTTTATATTTTTCATGTGGTTCTTGTTGTTGCGGTTGTTGTACAATGCAATTGGCAGTTGCAATTTTGTGTCTCTCTTTCTCTTTCTTCTCCGTTTTTAGCGAAACCGTAATGCTAACGTTTTTCCTCTATGGTTTCTCTTGTGTTTGACTGCATATGTGTGTGTGTGTGTGTGTGTGTGTTTGTGTGTGTGCTTGTGTGTGTTTGTGTGGAAGCCTTTTTCACTGTTTCACGAACTTCAAGTACATGTAAATACATATAAATATATATGTATGTGTATATATGTATATATAAATATATAATTCGTTTAGTAACACATTAATTTATACATAAATTAGTTTTGTGTATTTTAAAGGAAAACTTGTCTAAAATCAAAATATATTAAATAAAATGTTTAAGAATTTAAGCGAAAAAAAGTAGTTTTAAAAAACAATTTGCAAACAGCTGGCAACTTATTCAACATGCCACCGCGTCCTCGCTACCTGTTTCTGTATGTTCGCTACTGCCGCTATTTGACGCTCTGCCCACGATCGCGCTCGCGCTTGCCGTTGTCTGCTGCGACCCTATTCCACATTTTCGGCACACGCAGTTAACGCTGCGTGCTCAGTCGCCGCCGTCATGCTGCATTCCTAGCACTTCCAGTATTCGAATAACCGAATTTCGATTTCGAATTTCTTTTGTATCCATATCCCAAATGCAAGCGCAATTCTCTGCCGCTGTGATGAGCTTAGCCCGGCGACGAGGTCGATCGGCGCAGTCGCAGCTTCAGGCGATTAATGCTGCTGCCGCTGCTACAGCGACGTCGACAGCGACGTATGGCGTACGGACTGCCAGCGGTTAGATGCTCAGCGCTGCCGCCGCCATCGCTGCCGTCATTAAAGTCCAGCTCAGGCGCAGCTGCGCCGCCGGCAATGACAGCGGCTGCGCCGAACGCTTGGCAACAGCGTTTAAAGCGTCGGCCCAAACGGCTGACAACACTAGAACTCTGCGTTGGCAGCGACGGCGGCGGCTGTTGTATGCTGCCAGCGTCACTGTCGTACTGCCAGCCATTAATGTTGTTATTGTTGCCGCCGCCGACGCTGCTATTGTGGTTGTTGTTGTTGTGGTTGCTGCTGCTGTTGCTGTTTGTGTGTGTGACGTGTTCTCATGAGCGCTTGCTGCTGTCCTTGCGAAAGGACTTGCGGAGCTTGTCAACCAAACGCATATGGAATTTCGTATAATCGTTGCTCTGCTCAGCTGCCCGCTCCTCCCGCTGCGCCGTCGCTGCCGCTGCTGCTGACTGCGCAGCGGCCTGCGCTGCCGCCTGTCGTTCTAGCGCCGAGGCTGTCTGCGTTCGGCTGGGTGGACTCGAGCGCGTAGGCGACATCATTGCTGCCTGCGACATTTGCATCATGGAGCCGCCGTGGGAGCTCCGTGAAGTGTTGCGGGTGAAGCCGCGCGAGCTGTGACAGCGCTGCATCTGCATGCGATGTGTGCCTAGTTGCCCGTGCGACGGTGACGTTGCAAAACTTTCTGACTTACATTCGGACACCTTGCGCCGACGTTGTTGCTGCTGCGACGGCTGACCCGGCGTAGCGAGGGCGCTGGCCAAGGCTGAGGTGCCGTTGCCACTGCTCACGTTCGAGCATTCGGATGTTTTGCGGGAGCGGGCACGCGTATCCTTATAGATATCATAGTTGTTTTTCATAACCGGCATCATAAAAGCCATTTCGTTGTTGTTGTTCTTTACTCAGCACGCACGAAACAAAAATCAACACAGCTCAAATACCAAAAAAAAAAAAACAGACAAAACTATGCAGGTTTTCAATCAAAAACTTCGACTTCTGTTCTAGACGTTTCGATTTCCACTTTAATTTTAGTGCGCGTTCGTTCTTTGACGTTTGCTTTTCCGTTCTTGAACTCGCGATTCAAAAATGCACTTCATATGCAACTCAACACGACTTTCTGTCTCTCTTCCTTTATTTTGCTTTTTGTTGCTTAATGGAAAACTTTTGTGGCGTGCGCTATACGTCTACTCGAGGCGACTGCTGAATTGTATTTGAATCGTATTTAAAATGAACGTTGCAGATTTGCCGCGGACCGTTGCCAGAGAGCGTGACCAATATAAAGAGAGCACTCTCTCGCCACGTCTTCAAATAACATTGTGTGTGTGTGGGGTGTAGAGAGTGCGAGCTCTGCTTGGTTGGAGTGAGTGAGTTCGTGTGTATGTGTGTGACTGCGTGTGCTGTGGCATGCAATTGGGGTTGTTTATATCTTGAAGCTGACGATATTGATTATCAATATCGTTTTACATACGCTTATGGCAATATAACAACATACTATATTATTTACTGATTTTAATATGTATATTTACTCCAATTTAATAGAAAAAACACGTGATCAAAAATCTAAAAATTTGTATGATGTTAAAATTTTATGTCTTAATACATTTATATGTGTCAGAAAAATGTTTACTTGTATTTATATGGTCTAAAATAAGCCGAATTAAATTTTGCTAATGTCGTTATATAATAATTTCTAGAAACAATAGAAAGCAGTTACTTACGATATTAGCTGCACTTACGATATTGCACATATTTGACTCAGTGCGATCATTTGTTCCGTTTCTACGTTAAGAAAAGGCTCACACACGACACACATATTCACATTTGCTCTCAATTTTTCAATTTTACGCATACATTGAAGATTGAGCGGCATTTCTCTCGGGGAAAAGCCATGACTGAACACACACACACAAATTTATTATATATATATATATATATATATTATATATATATATATATATATATATATTATATATATATATATATATATATATATTATATATATATATATATATATATGTTATATTTAAACTGAACATAAAGAGCTTCGATTTTTTTTCAAGTTTTTTGAATGCATTACTATGAATAGTGCAACGCCCCATTTAACAATGCACAGCTAAGGCGCTTCTAAATATATGAGCGCTGTTGTTCGTCGAGTGTGTCAGCACGTGAGAGAGGATGTGAGAGAGCGCGCTTGCGCTGTTGTGCGGGTCAGTTGTACCAGCTGAATGTTTACACAGTGCGCTGTTGGTGATAAGCGTGCATTTACGTGATTAGTAAACATTAAAGCAAATAGCTTAAGTATTTTACGTTTTTTAACTGAAAACAAAAAAAGCAATTTAAGTTAAGTTTCAAATAAATATTGAGACTTGAACTGATTGCATAATTGCAGATGAATTTGCACTGTCTGCGCCAACATAAGCTTGATAAATTGTTAACGTCAATGCGAGCGTCAAAGTCGAATGCAAATAAACTAATTGTCAGTCATGGCAATTAATGCAGGGTCTATAGATAGCACTACTTATCAGTTTTCCGTATACCCTTTCTAATGCCATTCGTAAGTGGTCTTCGACTTAGGCCTCTGCACCCACCCGGTTTAAGTAAATCAACAAAGTCATTTGTTTAAATTTTGTTATTTTTTTAAAGATTTTTTTTTGTTTTACTTTCAGTTGTTTTTTCCGTTCACTTTAATGAATAATTTTCAATCAATGTTTGTTTTTCTTTTGCAATTTCTTTTTCTTTTGATTTTTGTTTTTCTTTTTGTGTTTGCTTTTGCTTTTGTTTCTTATTCTTTTTCCAATATCTATATGAATTGTTAAATAATGAAAGTGCATATACTCGTATTAAGTTCATTGAGTTCTTATATTGTATATATATATATATATATATATATATATATATATATATATATATATATATATATATATATATGAATGTTGAAAGTTTTCTTAACAATTGAAGTTAATTTTGGTTTTGTTTTTATTAGATTTGAAAAAATTAATTTTTCTTGTTTTATTTTCTTAAATGCATTTTTTTCAACAACAGTTTTTGTTTTTCGATTTTTTGTTTTGGTATTTGTTTTTCCTCCTTATTTTTTTGTAAGTTATCTATAGATAACATAATTAAAAGCCTTCCAAAGAATAATATAAATTCTTAATTCTCTTCAGAAAAGTGCGAAGCTCACATAAAAAAAAAAAAACACAAAATGAGTCGAAAATTTAAGGAAATCTATATAAATATGTTATAACTATAAGACAATATATATAAATAAATACATGTTTGAAATTATTGTACAGATTTTGTAACATTTTGCAGTTTTTCTTATATTTTTATTTTTATTATTATTATGAATATTTTTAATTTATTTTTAATTTCAAGTGCGTTTTGTGCTCGTTTTTAGATTAGTTCAGGAACTACAAAAAAAAAAACAATACAAACAAATACTATATATATATATATATATATATATATATATATATATACATATATACATATGCATATATATATTTATATATATCTAAATCTTTTTTATATTTCCTCATAAGACCAATACAAATATTGTATTTAAGTATATATATATATATATAAGTGCTGACAAAAAAAAACTTCTCAATTTATAGCACTTTTAATATAGTATTTCTTGTTGTGTTTTTTTTCTCTCATTGTGTATTTAGTATTTGTATAATTTACCTAAAGTATTATTTTTCTCTTATTTTGTCTTTGCATTTATTTTCCATCAATTTAATGAATGTCCGTTGCGCTAATATCAATCAATTATTATTTAAATACTAGCTAAAAAAATGTGTTTTGTTTTGTTTTGTTTTGTTTTGTTTTGTTTTAATTTTAATAGTAGTGTTAAATGGGGTTTACACGATAAACGCATTGACTGCGCATAAACCATCTCTAGCAGCTGGGATTGTGCTCAAGGAAAACTGGTTAGATGAGAGTTCAAAATAATTAGAATACTCGAATAAATATATATATAGATAGAAATATATATATATATATATATATATATATATATATATATATATCTATATATATATATATATATATATATATATCTATATATATATATATATATATATATATATATATATATATATATATATATATATATATATATATATATATATATATATATATATATGTTAGTGAAAACAAAGGCAATCAAACTATGCTGGCAGTTTTGGTGGCTATATATATGAATGTGTCGATTACATCATTGTATAGTGCGAAAGCTAGAGTAAGAATGCTGGCTAGGGTTGCCAGACCAAATAAATAAAGGCATGCAACAGGCTGAGCAGAGGCGTAGACTTAATTCATTTTGGTGGGCGGTTATAAAGTACATAGGGATGCGATCAAGGTAAGCCCTGTTGTCAGCCTTCAGACTTGTTATTAAAGTTTCACGATATATATATATATATATATATATATATATATATATATATATATATATATATATATATATATATATATATATATACATATATATATATATATATATAAGTTAACTTATAACACTTAGTTAGCTTATAACACTCAATGTAAGGTATTATTCAACACTTATTATCGGGTGCTAGACAAGTTAAGGAACAGCCCTGGCAAGGGCAACTCTACTTACGCCGGTGAGGCTATGATTTGTAAAAATATAGATCAGTCTCGTGTTTTAACTCGTACTGATAGGACATGCTAAAAATTGGTGTCATATAAGTAAAACTAAAAATAGTGAATATAATAAGAAAAACCAATAAAATTAACTGTTTCGATTATTCAAAAAAGAACAATTAAAAGCAGGGTTAAAAAGCGTTCTTCCAGTAAACCGCTTAAATAAATATTCACTCCGTCATTTGCTCGTTAAATGGCTTATTTCATTGTCTGAGCCCGAGGCCAGCAATAAGAGGCACAGTCGCCTCTCAACCTAACTTTCAGTCACCACAGGACTGGAAATCATATAACTGGCGCCCAACGTGGGGCGGACTCCACAACCAACAACAATTAAGACAGCAGCGCGGGAGCTGCAATTGACAGATCTTATAAAGGGATTTTTTTTTGTTTGTTTTGTGTTAGTTGAATCTTGTAAGTGGATACTCTAGCCAAAATTTTTCTTCAAACACAAAAAGTGTTAAAATTTATTTTATAAAAAAATAGCTAGGACTAGCGAGTATTTTATATTGCAATTGCATGTAAAAAAAAAAAAAAATTAATGATCAGAACCAAGTGAGAGTGACTACTTTGGGAATTTTAGTGGCAGCAATTGATCATTCAGATCGTCAATAAAATTACATTGTGTTACTTTCTGTGTGTCTGAAGTTGTGCATGCAGTTCTCGTAGTTCAGAACTGCGACGTAATTCGACCCATCTTCTGACGGCCCGTTTTATTTTTCGCGACCACTGACCTGCGCATGTCTCGGTTCAACCAATAGAGAAACCCTCGCAGGCAGTCTAGCGACTCAGATTCCGACTGTGCAGTTCTCCCACCATCAGGTAGAATGGATGTAGATCAGCTTACGGAAGTAATAAGGACGGCTATCAGCAAAGCTTTAGCCGAACAGGCTGCTGTAAACCAGCAGAGGGAGCATGCATTGACTCAAAGAATTAATGAGTTAGCTGAACAAATAGCAGATGCATCCCCATTAGTTAGAAGTTCTTTTTTGAAAATGCTGAAGACCAGACAAAAGGCCTTTGCAGACCCAGACGAGACGTTGCCGTATAACACATCAGTCGTGGCTACCATTAGGACCATAGATGAGCAACCGATCTATACCAAGCTTTACCCATATCCAATGGGAGCGGCTGATTTCGTTAATAAAGAAATCAAAGATCTACTAAAGAATGATATAATTCAAAAGTCCGTCTCTCCCTACAATAACCCAATATGGGTAGTAGACAAGAAGGGCACTTATGAAGCGGGCAATAGGAAAATGAGGTTGGTAATGGACTTTCGTAAACTTAACGAAAAAACCGTGCCGGACAAATACCCTATGCCAAATATATCAATGATATTGGGGAATTTGGGGAGAGCCAAATTCTTTTCAACATTAGACCTCAAGTCTGGTTATCACCAGATCATACTCGCTGAACGCGACCGTGAAAAAACCTCTTTCTCTGTGAACGGGGGAAATACGAGTTCAAAAGACTCCCCTTTGGATTAAAGAATGCAGCAAGCATTTTTCAAAGAACCATCGACGACATACTGCGAGAGCAGATTGGCAAATTTTGCTA